GAGGACCAAGGATCAAAAAAAAAAAGTAGACCTTCACATCTTACTCAACTTGCATACTCAGGCGACACTACCTCACACCAGCAGAGGTGAAGGAGGAAAAAAGTACAGGTGTTTACAGTTTACTTTTAACTCCTGAAGCACACCGTCTTCCCTCTTTGAAGTACACGCCTCTTAGTCTGCCCTTTGTTTTGAAGCATGTTCTTTACCCATCAAGATAAAGTCAGGAAAAAAAGACAACACCCAAAGAAGACGATGAAGCTTTGAGCTATCTTATTCATCTTAAATTCTGAAAAAAAATACTTGCAGCATCCAGTATTTAAAAACCAGGGAAAATGAAGCAGATGCGGAGATTTGAATTGCAAAGTAAAAATCATCAAATGCCAAGAGCTTCTTTGCGGACAAAGTAAAAATCATCAAATGCCAAGAGATCGCTTCTTTGCGGCGCTACTTGAAACGGATGTTGTTTAATGTCATCGAACGGCGACGTTAAAGAGCCAATATTTGCAGATAATAAATTCAGCCTAAAGAAAAACATGACAAAGAATGAGCGAGGTGAGGCTCGCTTAAACAGCAGTGCCCTCTGAAAACATTTGTCTGTGAGCAGTCAATGTTTACCCGGAGCACGTTAGAATCACTGAATAAGAGGAGAGTTCATCGAATACAAATCATCTGTAAAGGGAATTAATGAGGTGATTTGAAGTTATTAGTAATGATGATACTTCACCTTGTAAGCAAACGAGATTGTGCTTCTGCCTCACTGTTATTGTTGTTATGTGCCATAATGTATTATGGAGGCGTTAGTGTCAATACACCCTATGCAAAACCCTCTTAACTGGAAAAGCTTCAAGTTAATAGCCGTACAGGAAACAAACACTTGAGAAAATACTTATTTTTATGACAAAAGCACTCTTCGATTTTTAAGTGCTTAGAATATGGAATCATAAAAAGAAAAACAGAACTAGCTACTGCAGTATCTCTGTTCTTAACCCACCTCATTATTTCTTGATGACATGCAATGGATCAAACCCATCATTTGATTTAGCCGCAAATAAAAACAGGTTGTGAGGTGTCATATCTAGAAAAGCTGATTTATGTTCTATAACGAGGATTAATCACGATTAATCGTGATTAATACAAAGTGGCTTCTGCTGCTAATTATATTTACAAAAAAAAATGTTTGCTGCCCCTAATCTAAACACAATGGGCTCACCACAGGGCAATTCATCACATGTCATTTTAAACACAGCCCCTGTGGCACAGATGGCTGAATAAAACATGGGAAGATAACTTCGACAGGAAGGAGGAGGTGGACGGAGATAGGAGGCGACACCAAGATTACAGGTGGGCTGATAATAAGGGGAGCCCGTGGACCTCATTTCGTGTATGGATAAGGGTTTTATCATCACTTATCACGTACAGAACGGTCCAGTCATACAACAACATAGATGCATGCAGACAGTGAGGTCAGGGCCCAGCAGAAATAACATGTTATCTCCCACAGGTTGTGTCTGTAGAAGAAGAGAGCCAGCTGAGAGCCGGGACAAAACACCTGTGGGGCAACGAACAAGCAGCCTCTTCAAAGAACAGAGAGCAGACTAATTGGAACAGAAGTCGAAATTAGAGGAGAGAGGAAACAGATTCATCTGTATCACTCGGCACTAATGTAACTTAATGTTAATATTGAAGACAATGCGTGTCACCCAATTTCCTGCAGATTATTTTGTTCCTTCCAGGGGCAACTTTAATCAAATGTGCGTCAGGCACATCAGTTCCAATATGCATTCTAGAGTTTGCTAATAACCCTTAAACAAATAAAAGCCAATTTGAAAAGAAGAATTCGCAAACAGCATCTCACATAACTCTCATCTCGGGCACAACTGTCTCCTCGCTGAGCAATCTCATTAACAAAAAAACCAGTGCTGTAAAGAACCTGCGCGGTCCTATACGCTGAGTGCTTATTGGCAAGGGTCACGTCAATACATCGAGCAGCAGACAGCAGTCAAAAAAAAGTGTTAATTATGAAAACCATTAGTCAAAAGCCAAGACAATCAGAAGCGAATTACAAAAAAATTAACAAATGCACCAACAATTCTGCTGTGCATAATTACACCAAGTGTGTTTGTCAGAGGAGTATATGGTGCTCATCCAGCTGGAATGAGAGGAAGTGTACAGAGAGTGAAAGGGACTCAAACAGATCTCCCTCTGCAACAGAAACAAAAGAGTATCATCAGTGGCGGATGGGGCCGTGCACACTCACCAGTCCCATGATCCGGGAGGATGTGCAAATCACCGTTGGCTGCCAAGATACAGTCTCAGTGTTTTTATTACTAGCGCAAACTGTCAACACAGTGGAGGAGTGGAAATAAATGAGTGGACCTGCTATCAAACCCTGCGTATTTCATCCCATCTGCATCCTGCCCCATGCCGAACACTGTTGCTTAAAAATAAATGACTGAAAATCCAAATTTAATATCCTTGCTTCATGTTCTTGGTAGCCTGGGGGAAAAGGCTACACATAGGAATGGAAATTTACCAGTTCCTAATACATGTTCAATATCATGTATTGATTTGATATCCTTTTAGATTATCAATGGGTTGAAAATACATATTAAAGTTTAATGGCCAGTAATTGTCATTACACAAAGTAACAGTTTTGGGAAAAAAACGTCAACAAAAAGCAATCAGTGTCAGATGGAATCAAAAGGGAACGCAGCTACGAACAGGTTTTGTTGTTATTTGTGAAAGCAAATATTTTTGCCAAAACCCATTTTGAGCTGTAATGACAAAAGGAATGAATGAGTCTGGTGGTGACGCCGCCTCAGTAACACGGCACCACAGCTGAACGAAAGCACCGCAGACTCGTCCTCATAATCCAAGTGTAAATATGGCAGATAGACATGACTCATACACTGTAGTGAATGCAGGTTGAGGAATAATGCCAACATTAAAGAACAGGACCATGATGAATTCAACCTGGAATATTTAAGACAGAACACAGTGTTACAAGCTCTGCCCTGAGTACCAGCGTCATTTTCTTCACACTAATTACTGTGACACATCGTTCATTATTTAACTGCTTCCTGTGTGACTTTTTTTTCCCTCCAGGCCTCATTCCATTCCTTTTACAAAACACACGCTGGAAAGACATTGGCATCGACAATGCGATCGAAACACAAATAGGGAGCATGCGTGTGATGTCATCACGCAAGTACGTCATTGAGCAAATGTGTCTGTGGAATGAATTAACAAGATCTGGGAAGCAGGAAGACGAATAACTATAAGGAGCTGGCTCTCGATTCCCATCCTTACGTAGGAGAAATTATTTTCCATGATAACCTGTTTCCAGGATATTTGTTTTAATTTACTAATGTTCCTTCTTCTCACCTCATTGTCTTCTCACACAAACCAAATGACATGTATTCAACTAGTTCAGCTTATCAACTACCACTTACAACTGAAGTCTGTCAATCGGCTTAGAAGTTTTCGATTCAGTACAATATCTGGCCTCCAGGTCCGTGTGCTTGTTATCCAGCAGAAGACAAACAAAACAACCTTTGGTTGGATCAGGCGGAGGAAAAAAAAAACTACAGACTCCCACTGAATGCCAAACAAAATAACTTTAAATTCTGAGCAGACACCGAGTTTTCACGATGTGACCTTCTCACTCACTTCCAGAAAGAGGAGAACAAAAACGCATTACGCTTCCACAATTTTAAAGTTTATACACTGGTGAGAAGCTGCTAAACTATGAGAACTTCAGCCTCCTGTTACAATGACACAGTGGCTAGTTTCCTGGCAGCGAGCCAGGCGAGCGAAGGTGAGGTCAGCAGAGGTGAGGGGGGGGGACACGTGCTCCACCGCAACACTGGTGTCGTAAACAGAAACCAGGGGTCTGCTGTTGGTACAAGCCCGCACCCCTGTGACTGTTGAAACTGTTGACCTCTGGGCTGCGGAGGTCACACTGAGTATCATCATTTTGTTTTGACTTTCAAATACCCAGGTTAAACTTAAGAACTGTTTCCAGGAGATGTGATTTACAGACTCGAAAAATTTGCTTGAACCAGAGGTCGGTTCAAAACGGGGATTAATGGACATTTTTATTTTACTGTTCTAACATTAGAAGATTTCTTCAGTGTAGGAGCCGACCTGAGGTCAATATTGAATGAGTAGATCTTGCGTTTTTCTTTTTTTTTTTGTCAATTATTTCTCTTGGGTGACACTGAGGTGAGAATAACTGGATGTAAAGACTGTGGATGGGAACAGGTAGTTCTTGCATTATAATGTACAGGAACAACAGGCAAGGTGATGAAATTATTTCTAGAAATGGGCAAGGTAATAATCAGTCAACTCAAAGACATGTGGACCGACTGTGACCCAATGATGCAGCCCCGATGTGTTTAACAAGTAAAACATTTGAACATTCTGCCAAAGTGAAGGTTATCAGACAGATCAACAGATTTATAGGATATGTAAATGTAAAAATATGTAAACCTGCCTATTAGTGACCTCTGCTCCATAAGACTGGAGTGAGAAATGAAATAGTTGTTGTCTTATTTTTTTATACAATTTAAGCTTATGATGCACAAAATTATGCTGGCTGTTATCCTAAGAAGAACATTTTTATGAATGTGAATTTTCTTTTTTTAAACAGTAAGAGAAAAACCAACAGGTGGTGGATGTGCCATCTCTGTGACCTGAGTCAGTCCCAGAGATAATAATAACACTAGGACATGTGCTTGGTCCATTTAGTTGACCTGAATTTGACATGAATTCCTACAAAAAAAAAAGTAAACCAGTTAAGATATCTGAGACATTTCTCCTGCAGTCATACCTACGGCCTTACAATGACGGCAGTGATCATTTCATCAGAAGAGAGAAACTACACAATGACAATGAAGTGTCCCAGCTACGGTGCCTAAAAACAGACCTAGAAGTGGGTCAGTAGAGAAACTCGGAATAAAGTGACCCATGATTCAGGAGGTGAAAAGAACTCTACCCACCGGCAAGGAGGAATGTGATGAGGCAGGTTTCTTTGGGCATGTACAGCTTGAGGCGAGAGCCACTGAAGACATATTCGACCACAGCCTCTGACCGCCCGGCTCTTTGTAGGAAGGGCAGGAACTGCTTGGCCTTCTGCGTCTCCTATGAAGAAAAACAAACAGGGGGGCATTTAATGGTAAATATTTCATCGCCAAGTGACACATTCATTCATACATCAAACGCAGACTCCGACAAAAATATCACAAACCAAGTTGGAAAGAACGGCAACGGCAAAAAAGAACCCAGCCAAATAAAAAGTTACCAAAATAAATGCGACAGACTAAATATGTTTATTGATTTCTAAATCTGTGGGCTTCTTCCAGACGTTTTTTTAATCCCGGTCTGGCATTACCAATGTCTGTGCCACGTTTCAGTGTCTTGTCTGAAACCTAGCGCTGTCAAAAATAATTCCCTCCATCTCCCTGATCCTGGCACTTTCTTCCTGCAAAATGTGACTCGCTGCCACGTCAGTTTGTCCAGGACAAAATTATAAGCCCAGTAAAATCACGGGCATTAAAAGGTGACGCTAGTGATGTAAGAAAGAGTCACAAACGATGAAAATATGGAGGTACTCCAGGCGTACATGAGTAGGCACAGCGCAGTGAGTCACGAAAAAATGAGTACTCTGTCGGGAGTACTGCAGCTACTGTATAACAAACAGAAGCAACAAGATGGACGCAGTATAAAGAAACAAATTCATGAATGAATGAAGGTCACCTGTAGGTTGACAGATTCGCCACTAACATAGCTTTTGCTTGGTTATTGTCAAGGTTAATGCTAACATTTTGGCCATCATTTCTTTTGGTTAACCACTGAAAAAAAAAAAAAAAACACAAACTCAAGTTCAAAAAACATTCTTCGTGAAAGTATTCTCTTTTCTACTGGAAAAAAAAAATACAATCTCTGATTGTGTAGCTGCTGGGATTCAGCAGTTTGACATTCACCAACAAGTGGTTCCCAAAGGGCTATTAAGTAGTTGGGGAATCTTTAGAGGTTTGAGGAGTGGAGAATAAAAAAAAAAGAAACTCAGGACTGAAAAATAGAATAAAAGTTCAGCTCATCCATCCAATTCAAGTGTCTTGAATAAATTGTTCAGCCCCCCGCACCCTCCGCAAAAACAAAAAACATTTCAACAGTTAGATAACTGAAAGGGGAAGTCTAGAAATATGCAAATAAGAATTTTCAAAAATTGGACAAATTTAACAGAGAAAAAAAAACTCAAGCTGCTGTCAACATGGTACGGAGACAATGGAAAAAAATGTTGGGGCTGGATTGCAGCCAGTGATGTTGGAATAATAAAAAAAAATTAACTAGAAATCGGAAAGTATTACTCGTAGAGGCATTTGTCACAATTCTTGTTATTCGTGGGTTTGGCTTTCAACTCAAGAATCACATTTTAGATATTGAATATTCTAATGGGTTACAGGAAAACAGAATACCTTTCTGACTCTGTGTTATTGTGTTTTGAAATGTTTCGATGAAGGATGTACAGTAGACCCCACCCCCTCTTCAAATGATATATTGTGTATAATTGAGTATAATACATAATGTAATAGAATTATTCGATGAAGGATGTACAGTAGACCCCAGCCCCTCTTCAAATGATATATTATTGTGTATAATTGAGTATGATACATAATGTAATAGAATTCTTTTTCTATTTAAATTTCCATACACATTTGCATTAGTTTAAACCAGTTTATTCCAGATCTTTTTGACCTGCAACCTTTTGTAGATAGGACTGCAACGTGGACACAATCACAGCTATTGTTTCAAAATGCCACTGGACTGTTTTTAAAACCCTGTAATCAGAGACTGTATTGATCCCCAGGGGGAAGCTGTCGAACGATCGTTTCAATTGTTGATCAAAGAAAATGAAACGGACAAATCAGTGCGATTTTCCTAACCGTGGACAAAAGACAAGAAATGCCACCTTTTTCAACACCTCTGTCAATACAGGATATTTTCACCTGCGTTTTAAACTAAAACCTGAGACTAATTCCAGGGCTCCAGATGAGACCCTCCATCTGCAGCTCACATCATCAACGCCTCGAGAGCCTGTGACATTATGAGTGCAGGGTTTGTGGCTCAGACACACCACCTGAACTCCACCCACCGACGTCCAAAATAGTCCCTTGAGTGGGAGACAACAAAACAGTTTCGCATACACACACAAACAAGTTCCCCGCACCTGCAGTGTGTGGGCTTTGCAATCTAACTCAAAAAAAAAAAAAAAAAAAAAGAGGAGAGGCAAGTGGAGGAGCGTAGAAAACAGGGCCTCCTCACGCATTTGTGTATCCTAGCTTTAAAGGTAGAAGTTGAGTCAAGTGCTCCATCCACTCTGCTCCCAACATATTTCCTCCTCTCCCACGCTGTGTATTTATAAACATATATGTTCTCCATTTCTGTTTGCAGCCCACTGCGTGAACGTGTTCCCTTTAGTGTCAAAATTAACCACGGAGCCAGAGGAAGGTGACATGTGTATCATGACATGTACGGTCGAGGTGCATTTCCGCCTGCGTCAGACTGTGCTGTAGCACGTGGGGAGAGTGATCTGTGGGGGAGTATCTGAGAGGAGCAGAGGAGAAGAACAGGGACGTGGGGGGGGGGGCGACTGGGGCAAATGTTGCTATTTTGGTCCTTTGTATAAGAAAGCTCATTACATTAGCTTAACTAAACCACTGGTGCATGCTGGTACTTGCTCACATGCCCAGTGGCTCCAACTAGCAGTCATCCTAGACTGGGCTTCAATTCCTTTTCCATTTTGTTTGTTTGTTTGTTTGTTTGCAGAAACGTGAGTGCACTTTCTAAAAGCCTTAAATAAATAAAGTCAGGACTTTTGTAAGTGCACATGTATTTGTTGAGCAAAAAGACGGTACATGTTTGCCCTTCCGCCGGGTAACCTAATTTATGACGGCAGTGAGTAGCCTTCAATCTAAATTTCAATACTTTATTTTTCTTCCACAGTAGGAAAAATGCACTGAAATGTTGTTTTATTTCATTTGTTCAAAGAAAAACAAATGTATTGGGGCTCAAGTGTTTACGTTTGAGACAACAGCTGTAAATTTGTCATCTCTCTATTCCTAACTAAACAAGGGTGGCGCTGTAAAAAAAAAAAAAGAAGGTTGTGCTAACGGTGGGTTAACAGATCAGGTTTGTAGCTGGACGTTAGGTTGGTTGCTGGTTAAATTCCCAGTCCAGCCAGAACTGCATTTAGAAAGCACCAAATGCCTTGGCGTTTTGTTTTGTACATTCTAACTGTGTGAGTTAATGCAACAGATGCACATTCAGCAGTAGTAGTTTATTTCTTGGCTTTTCTTATATAGATTCACACCTAGTTAGAGGATGAGAAACTTATTTTTGATAAACAGACATGAGGGCGAACCCTTAGATTGAAAAAAAAAAATTGACCAGGTTACAGATTTTATTCTGAAAAGTCAGTCTGTGAAAGCATCATATGACAAGGTTGACAGCAGCGACTGAGAGTGGACAGTGCTAATAAAAGGCACGCTAAGGGCGAAGCCACACAGTAGTGCACCAAAAACACACGACTCAGCACAATCACGTTAAAATCCTCCAACCCCGACTGGGTCACTGGGACAGTTTTTAATGAGGAAAATGTGTGAAATCTCCAGCTGGATTAAGGGTGTGGCGTATATTGCTTTTTCTCCCCGTTATTAAAGTAAATTAATTATTTAGCACTTACCCCCGCAACTACTCCCAAGTCATTGCTACACATAGGATGTGGTCAATTTAGCTAGTTAAGGGGTTGGGGGTTTATAAGTATAAGATGCACTAAAACTCCCCGGGAGTCATGGGAGTTACAGTCAGCACAACAATTCCCTGCCATAATTATCTTTATAGGGTGCAGTAATTTATCTGTCTTGCTGACACAATAACACATAGGGAGGTAATGTTGATGACAATGTGGAACGTCGGAGAGAAGTTATGCACTGTAACTCTATAGTCCCCTTGGTGTTAAAGAGCTTTACTCATTTGTTCAAATGGGAGCTGATGATACTTTAAGCAGCAACTTTGCAGTGCGCGATCGCAGCCACCGAATGTGTTGGCCCGCTCTGAGCTTAAAGAAAAAAAAAAAAAAGGCGAGTACAGGAAGGGAAAAAAGGCAGAGTAATTTAACCAAATGTCTCTCTAGAGGATACAAGTACAACAAGAGAGCTCAAGTGAGAGACAACAAGGTGCTAATGTTCCTGAAGATCAGGTTTGAAGTAGTTCACAGTGATATGTCACTGGATGTTTAAAATAGACGCAAAAATGGTGAAGAGGAGAACTGCATGGTGACAACGGGGAGGGCTGCTGTAACTGTTGGACATTCTGTAGGTTGGACCTGGACAGATGCACATGCTACTGGGGAATAAACAAATACTAAAGAGCTGAGGCACCTGTTGGCCAGAGTTTATTTCATTGGCTAATAATTCAGTCCACGACCCTTATATTTAACAACCGTCACTAACTAAAATAAGAACTAAATGGGAATTTATACGAGGGTAAACGAGGCTCTAGCATGTCATTGGTCAGACATGCTAATGGTAAACAACCTCAACCTGCTGCTCTGGATGTTGTAGAGTTTGGGGAATTTTAAAACCCCAAACACAGTATTCCAATATCCATTCATTCATTCAGCAGAACATTGACTTTCTTAAAGTTGATTGAAAATTGACCAAGGAAAAGTGTATTCCAATATCCATTCATTCATTCAGTAGAAAATTGAAAATTGATATTTTTAGTAGCCACAGTGATCCATATGTGCTAATGTATGCTAACTATACAGCAAAACATCCAACACTAATGTCTTAAAATGTTACAGTTTGTTAAGGCTTTGAAGATAAATAAAATGTCTTTATCGTATTCGAACTCTGCAGTGAACTCTGGAGTAAGGCTGAAAACAAAGCTGAATTCCTGTTGGGTTTTAATACAAGGCTTGTCAATTTGTCACGGGTGGAGTTTTTTTCAGTTTACTGCTGTGCTAAAGCAACAGAGTTTTTATATTTTGTTGAGACTTCAGTACATTTTTTGCAGCCACCAAATTGAGATTATTTGTATTAAAACTAAAGGTGGAAGAAAAACTTTGTGCCCATTTTGCAGCAGGAGTCGGGCAATGATGCACTGATTGTAGCTCTGCATCAGTCTTGCTGCTGTCTGTTGGAGCTTTGGCCCTAATAAAAACAACTTCTTATATCCCTGGCCTGGCTTTAACAGATTTAAGACTTGAAGGAGAAGTATTATCACAGGAGAACTGGAAACTGGGAAAAGGTTTTAAAAGCACAAAGCGTTTTTCTCTTCTTCATCATCATCATCTTTATTTTAATGTTTCTGTTGAACATATAAAAAGGTTTAATCAATGTGCACCAGCCACCCATTACTTGTTTCTTTGAGATTTTTCCTGCTCTGATGTTCATTTGTTGAGTGCTCAAATCAGGTTCATTAGCCAAATTATGCTTCCATCAAGCCCCGGGGCACATATCAACAAGCTAGGACCAGGCACCGCTGATGGTTTTATTAATGGAGCTGAATATTTTTAGAGGACCCTTAGTGTAGCATAAGAAGATAAAAAAACAGCTCTAAGAAGCAGAGACGTTGAGTCATGAGGAGAACTGAATATCATTTGCAGTGTTTATAATTGATGGGATTCTGGATATATAATTCAATAAGTAAAATCTTACTTATTGTTTTGGCTGAGAGTGATATTTATTGAGAGAGAACGTAGTAGAGCACAATATAGACCTGACGCTACAGTTCAATTTTGAGTTAATATTCAAACAGAGTTGTCTGGTAGACTCCTGTATATTCACGTTGTACAGTATACTCCCCGCCACTGTCATCAGCGCTGCTGTCATCTTATAGCTCATATACGGTACTGCTGTGAAAAGTCATCGTTTCTATACATACAGATAAAGCAACCGATCCTGACTAGCAGAACGAGCCGTTCCTGGTTCTAATCCTAAAACTCAAAAATGTATGACTTTAAAATGACGTTGAGTTCAACACATGTTGACAAGACAAGCTAACTTAAAGCAAATGCAGCTGTTCTAACTATTATTTATACACACTGTCTAACAAGGTATAATTAGGTGCCTCATAATTTCATTTTAATAATGACATCATTATAATTGGCCAATACTTAATACCTATATATTTATATTTTAAGTATATTTTAAATACACTATAAAAACAAAAACAATATTAGTACCATTATCTTTGATTATTGCGAAGCTGCATTTCCCTCTTGGTATAAGAAGAATAACACGGTTACGACACTTCTGTGTGTTTAGTTTCTAAATGACAAATGGATTAGAAAAAGAAAAAGAAATACACAGGCTACTCCTCAGGAGTTGCGCGGCGTTTATGACATCACACAACATGATTGGTTCAACGGGCACTATTGTATTTTTAAATAATAGATTTCGTTTTAATTTTTTTTCTACATCAATTTCTATTGGATCTCGGCAACGCCGATGCATCAGAAAAACAATATTTTCTCCCACTCCTATTCCCCAATGACATTACAGTAAAACAAATGCAGGGCCATTATCTATTCACAACGCATAAGCGGAGAGCCTTTTAATCCCATTTACTGTAAAAGACATACATACCCCAGAGATGTCTGCCACTCTGTGGATGGGAACCTCCTTCTTGCTGTGCAGGCCTTTCCCGTTCTTGATGGCACTAGAGTCAGGAAAAACCCACAAAAAAGGAAAATTACTCAGCAGCTTGAGCACAATTGCAGCACATCCAGTAAGCACAAGACTTTTGAAGCTGAAAGACCCGGAACAAATAAGAGCCCCTCGAATAACAATAGCAGCAGGGGGAGCTACTGCTGCGTCCAAAAGCAGAGGGTTCCTGTTTCCCCTCTTTCTTATAACCAAATAATCTATAAGTCTGAGATTTAGGAAATCATCATTACGGAGGGATGAGGAGAAACAGAGAGACATGAGTTGCTTTTATTTATTTTTTTAGAGGCAGCTGGGAGTTTAGCGATGATGACTGGTGCTGAAGACAACCGCTGTAAAAAGCCTCAAGGGCCAAATGAGATGAAGATGACCAGGATAACGTCGGCTGCTGAGTGGAATCACGCCACCTCTGGGTCACTGGGATGCACGCACCATCGCTTCTAAGATGGCATGTACATTTATGAAAGCATGTATATGTATATAGTTATATATATGTGTGTGTGTGTGTGTGTGTGTGTGGGCACGTGCACATATAATAGCCAGGAGGAGGTTCCATGGAAGCTGCAGGCCATTGCTCATGTGCAGAGGGAACTAAAAATAAAACTAATGCTACAGAGAGAAACCTCTCATCAACTTTAATAAGACCCCACCAGGGACGGAGGGAGAGAGAGAGAGAGAGAGAGAGAGAGAGAGAAGAGAGTGACCAAAGACGAGATAACCATGGAAGAGAAAGGGCTGGAGAAGACCAAGGCTAGGGAAGGACACTAGGGAACGAATAAGGACAAAATATGTACAGGAAAAAAAAAAGTGAGAAAGATGGAGAAAATGGGAAAGAAGAGCGGGCGAGGAGACAGTGTAGAAGAAGAGACAGCGTTGTGTTTAAAAAAAAAAAAAAAAAAAAAAAAGACAGCAGTGGCTGCATCTGCTCTACCTGTAGCCAGCAGATCTTAATCTATGACAGAGTAATAAAGCAGGCACTAAATCTCTCCACTGCACTTCCATGTAATTATATTCATAGGGTCTGTGTAAAGAGAGCGTCTGATTTAGCATCCAGCAGTGGGGAAGGTAGGAGGTGGGTGACTGTGTGTGTGTGTAGGCATGTATGTTAAGATTAAAAAAAAAGAACCAATGCATGAATTAGTGAATGTGACAGCAAGGACACAATTCCAGGAGAAAATGTACTATAACAGGCTGAGATGTTTTCCTTGTGTCACGTTGAATGTAACAGCAAACGTACGAGCCATTTAGAAGGAAAGAAAAAAAAAAAGCTCAAGGTCAAATATATACTGTCCATTTAGAAGGAAAGAAAAAAAAAAAAACTCAAGGTCAAATATATACTGTATTTTTTTTTTTCTTTTTTCCCCAGCAATAAAAAACAAGGTCATGCACAGTTTAAACTAAATGTTTGCCTAACTTCATGGCTGCGTCGAAAGTGGGTTTGTTCAAAGCGAGGTGCTGGGGCCAGTTGTGGCCCACGTACAGGTTATTTATGGTGAAAGCCAATTAGCATCAGTTCTTAAAAAATGTAAAAACAAAAAGTTTTGTGCATTCATATTAATTGCATTTCTAACTCCCTCCTGAGCTATAATTATGATATTTTTACTATCTACTTTTTGTTATCTTTCTTTTTTCTTTCTGTGCTTTAGCAGCTGTTAGCTTGGTCCAGCCTAACTGTAGTTTAGTTTGGAAGAAGTCAATCATCTTTGTTTCCTAAAATGAGGGTATGCATAGGTAGACATTTTTTTTTCTCATTAATATTTAGTGGATTTCAAACATTGATATATGAATGTATACCGTTCATAAAGTACTGTGAAATAGGTAGGAGTATACATGCACAAATGTATCCATATTTGGTATATGGGTGTGTACTGTATATAAAGCACTGTTTATACCACCTTTCTTCAACAGTTCCAGCACGACTTTGCTGCCTGTGGACCACCTTAAACGTATGCACAATCTATATATATAGGTATATTGAGCTAATTAAAAACTAATTACAAGAAACTTTTTTGCAATAATGCCTGCTTTCTTTAGGTTAATGTGCTTTTTTGTTTGGGTTTTTAGACATTTCTGGCCTTAGCTTTGGCTGTGTTTTAATTATTTAATGGAGTTATATTTACTGATTTCTGCAGTTTATGTTAAGCAGGTTATGCCATCATTATGGCTAACTTCAGTCTACCTTTTTATGACCTTTTAACAACGTTTTTTTTATTAGTTCCTGTTTTTTAAACACAATTTAAAAAATACTAATGTTATAAACAACATAAATTAACCAATTTTAAAGCACACAATCTTAAGCATCAAAGTAGAACCAGTGTGGCCTCAGGTGGTTTCACATAATCCACTCTAACCACAGAAAAAGTTGAACAGATTAAGGGGGACTAAGGACATGCATCAGGATTAACTTTAAAAAATTGTAGGAAATTATATATACAGAGAACAGGGTTTGGTGGTGTGATTATTAAAGGGCCAGGTGTAAAATATTGCATCAGTATCTCTGTGTCTGGTTTCCTCACCGAGCCTCTGCAGCAAGCAGCTCGTCGTAGTGGGAGGAGCGCTGGTCGTCATCCTGTCTGTATCTGATCACCGTCGCGAGGCCTTTGCTGACCAGAGCCTCTGCGATGTTACTGGAGGAAGAGGGAGAAGAAGAGATTACCTTAATAACTACAACAAGCAAACCCTCCCTGCCTCCCTCCTTTCCCCCCCGGCCTCTGAACAAATTCTCAGTGAGCTGGCTCAACAAAAAGAAAATATGGACGTGGAAGATTCCCAGGGTGGCTTTGCTGAAGGACAAAGGTCAGAGATATGTTGACTTTGCACACTTAAACTGCTTCCTCGCTGCTGATGTACAGAAGAAAGGATGAAGGACTGAATGAGGGTATTACTGTACTCACGGGCCACTTCTTAACTTCATCGAGCCTGTATCCTGTTAGCTCAGTGATAGAAATGTGGATTTCACAAATCGATGGAAACATTCCTGCCTGAGCAATTGAGCTGAGCTGCATCAAGTCGGGCAAAGGGCAGGGGTCACCGACTGTATTTGTCGGAGGGCCAGAATTGCTTTAGACAGACACCTCGGGGGCCGAACACTCAAATAAAATGAAATGAAAATCACATTTTTGAATAACATTATTATTTGATGTTGTTGGAATCCAGTCTGGGTGGATTGGATGGGTCGATGGGCCAGATTTAGCCGCGGGCCGCCAGTTGATAACCTCTAGCATAGGTTATCAAACTGTGCCAGGTTAGAAAGTGTTACAGAGAAGTGGACACAGAGATTTTACCATCTGAAACTTGCATTTTGTACATTTACACATATTACACCTATTCTCACAAAGGAAAGGGGCAGAAATATTTAATACCGACACCGTAGGTCGTGAACTACTAGAACTTTGCTACAGGAAACAAAGTGAAATGTGAAGTGAAGGGCTGCGTTGAGTTGACATACAAATGTGAATGGCTGGTAGAGTCACATGATGAGCTTCAGTTTTTCCCATTGCATGTACTTAACTTTTAAAATGACTGCAATGCCTTTCAATACAAGGAGTGGCAGAGGGGGAGGAAAAGCCCCGAACATTTGACCTTTTTCCCCTCATTTTCCATCCCTGAAAAGTTGGTCATTCATTTTCAGGTGTTCCAGGACACTGGCATCTGTGTGATCGTGGTCTTTCTCAGTCCACTTAAACCACTCATCTTCTAAACTCCGGCATGGACACGTTGTTTTCACTAAGCTCCCTCCTGTTCAGTTCTTATCCACTTAGCTTTTTAACTTTCTATCAAAAACTCTAAAAGGGATTTTTTTTTAAACTTCCTGTAAAGTGGACATAATTAGTCCTTGCTCATAGTACTTATTCCACACTAATAAAATATTTTATTTGAGCACTTAAAATATCCTTTTTTAAGTCAAATCTTTTTTTCATGAAAGGGCTTCAATGAGTGAAAATGTAGGAAAATTGTGGATAAAATAAGACAGAGATCGGGTCACAAAAGCTCAAAGACGTCACATCGAACGTCTGTGCCGCCTCGTTTGCTGCTATTACGGGACACTAAGCCATCTGTTATCTGTGGTGGAGTTAGCTGTTATTGGTGAGTTCAGAGGTCAGGTCTTGACCCCTATGGGTAAATGTACACCACGAACAGTGATACTGACAAAGAGGGACCCGGGTTCAAATATGGTTATGTAATGGCGTCTTGGGCTTTAACAGACACAGGCAGAAAGATAACTAAAAAAAGTTTTTTTTAAGACAGAATATTTATTTTCTCGACGTCAGATGTCACGGATGTTTCTTTATCCCGCACTGAATAAATTTTAAACTTTAAGAAGTCGAAACAATGTTTAGATCTGATTAAAACCACATTCCCACTCCTTCAAAGCAGTGTGTGTGCATGGATACATAATTGCTTGCACTTTGAGAAACCTCAGGGAAATTCAAATACAACACAGCGCGCTGAGGTCACACAGTGATAAATGAGAAAATAATGGCTTCTTAAGAATCAACCAGTGACGGTTCCTGTGTTGTTCTGCCTTGAAGCTGCTCACAATTATGTCTGTGATGAAACTAATGACTTCAAACACTCGTAAGGATTCGGTTGAATTAATGTAAAGAAGCGTCAGAAAGCCTGGACTGTATCCACAACAGGACATGAACAGGATTTCAGACGATAAAGACATGAAGTGGACTGAAAGTTCTTACATGCCGCCAATGGTAACTGTAGCACAGGTGCGTTCGGAGAAGGCAGGTATTCCTTCTCCAGGTCCAGTTGCTGCTCTGATGTAGTCCACTGTGACATTGACCTATAGTCAAAAAAACAGAAAAAAAAAAACAATGAGTTCACACTTTTAATCTCCAAAGTGGGTTCAACATGTAAAAGAAAATTTCAATTTCTTTAATTGTTAATATAATTGTTCCTGGACCACAGCATTAAATTAAAACTGTAAATTTCAACATCCACAGAGCAGCACCGACAAAAACACCAACATAATGTATTCCTTTGTTTTTGCCTTAACTGTTTCTGAGAAATTACAATTCAGTTATGTAAGAGGAGCAGATACAACCAAGCATTATCTTCAGCCTACACTCCTCCAGACTCTGAAGATGGATTTTGTGCTTTCTTTCTTTCTTCTGCAACTTTCTTTCTGCGACTGCATCTTATTTCTCTGCATCTTTGTCTCTAAATCCCCTTCTTCTTCTCCTACATCCATCAATCCCATTTCTCCATGTCATCGCTGACCCCATCTTTTCGTCTAAATTAGACAATGCTGCAGCATAAATGTAATCAATAATCCAACAAATAATATTAAGAAGATTCTATTTACCACTGGGTGTATTATAATCACCAGATTCACTTATAAAAAAAGCCATTGTTATAGTTGTGTGATATCACCTGGTCTGAACACAAAACACATTCAAATCCATTCATCCTCAAATAAAAGCCATTTACATTAGAGGAAAAAAAAAATTCTCTTTTACATTTTTTACAAGAGTCGTGGTCACTGTTGTGATCAATGGCTGTGCACAGGCTAGAAACCAGTGATGAATGAGGGAGAAGTGGAGCAATGTAAAAACAGGAACATGTAATAAAAGACAATCGCTGAATGAAAATGAGAGAAGAGCGGAGGACAACAAAACTTTTTAGTGGGAGATTTAAATGCATTAGCTAAGCAGCGAGCAGGACACTGAGCTGTGGAACCACAACACCAGTTCTTCCCCATTATGCCGAGCAATGACAGATTATAAACTTTGACCAAGCGATGTTAGATTAGAGGAGTTCCGAGCCCATTCTCCACGGGCCATCTAACAGATCTCCTGATAAGGCGCGGCTATCTGTAAGAAGCCTCCAGAGAAGAGCAGGGTGGAGGAGGAAGAGCCAGCAGATGGATTAGAAAGGAAAGGAGTGATAAGAACAAGGACGAGGAAAAGGACAGGACAAGAGGAAGACGGAGGTGCTTCTGCCGCCCTGGTGTCAGGAGGAGATATGGGTAATACTGCAGAAGAAACGTGATCACTTTAAACACATTTAGATTTTTTTTTTGTCATATCTTTGTTGATTTGATGTCGACACAACATATGGCTGCACATTTTGTTATTTCTTTTCAAGTGAATTAAGATGGATTGATCCATCTCAGGGCTAAATTAGTAATTTTCTCCTGCTGTCTATCCATTTTTGGCTAACTTTAGCTTCTCTTATAGAGAACCTTCTAAAAAGTTATCACATAAAAGAAATGAAGCAACTTTTTTGGACCTTTCTTGGGGTAACCCTTTAAATTATTTACATATATACATATATATGTTAATATTTACATAAGCATATATATGTACATACATCTAAAGGAATTGTACATATATACACAAATATATACATAAACACAAACATATGTATATATGTTTCAGCTCCCTTTAAGGAAAACTGTTATTCTTTAGAAACTTTAGCCATATCTACGCTACTATTAGGTTACTTCACTGTAGTCCTAATATTTTCCGCCATTTTAATAGCTACATGTACGGCTAACTTTTAAAACAAATATTTAGCTGCTTTCAGGCTACTTGAACTACATTTTGGAGTGGGTCTATCATGTATTCAGATTCTGTTTTTGCTATTTTCATTTAAACTCTATCTTTATCCTATACATTTTTGTACACCTTTTCACTTGGACTCTACGCCCTATATATGGCCCTTCAAAAGACTGGTGAAACGATCCCCCTCAGAACCTTAATGGATGATGGAAGACAAGCACATCATTCAGACAGCCATTCGTCTGAAAAGTGCAGTTGCAATTTTATAAGTAGATTCATCAAAGTTTTATAACCTTGAGAAACCAAAAATTTAAATGCAAGCACTTAAGCAGTTTAAGCAGCTATTCAAACGCTGATAAACGTTATGTAAAACCAAAGATGATGTGTTTGTATGTAACGGAGCATGAAAGGCCTCCCGCTTGCTTAATATTTTAGTTCCTTTTGAGAGGCGGCGTTTAAACAAACAAGCTGTAGTGGCGTGTGACCGACAGTAATCACAACCCAGCACGGACTCGGCTTGAGTGATTTTCTTTTTTTCCGGAGGCGCAGTCAAACTCTGCGTATACTGATAAAGTGTAGGAGGCGCTAATGTTTACAGGGAGTGACACAAGTAGACGGCACCTGCACACTTTAATCTAATCCATTCAGCTTTCACAGGTGATCTGGTGCCATTCTAAAAAGCTGTGCTGCAGATTATTTTGTAATCAAAGAGGACGGTGTTTTTTTGAAGCAAAAAGGACGGTGGAAATGTACACAACTGGAGCTGAGGAACATTTGAACAGAAAGTGTGTGACCAAGACGTGAGACATGCAGACGCTCTGAGGGAGCTGGAAATTAGTCTTTAACAAAAGAAAATGATCATTAAAATTGAGTTTATGAACTGATTGAGAAGGAAATAATTATGAATTTGTATGGCTCAAATCAAAGTGTTTAAACCAGTTTAGGAATGGGATGGGTTTGATTATCATAGATTTTAGTCAGAAGATGAATGACTTCAATAGATGAAGGTTTTCAAGGATCTGACGTCACCTGGTGTCAATAAAACCATGAGACACATTAAAATAATATGTTCTCCAATAGAGTCACTTCTGCACTGAGGGTTCTAAAATATAATGTATTTGTACGTAAACACGTTAGTATGACTATTTGCACCTCTACTGAATGTTCTGTTGTATTCTGTATTGGTGCAGGTAGTTCTTCTTCAACTGCAAAATCAGGGTTCTCAAACTCCCGGCCAGGGACCACTTCCAGTCCATAAACCCACCCACAACTGGCCTGTGACTTGTCCATAGTAATTTTAATATGGGGTAATTTTATTTATTTTACTTTGTTTTTCCAATTGTTAAAATTCTTTAGTTAGCTATTTGGATTTTGTTTTGTTTAGTTTTGAAAACCAAACACTGATGTGGCCTATCAGCATTTTCCCTCAGCTCATTTTATTCTGCTTTACAGAAAAAATTCCTCCATCTTTGGCCTAGAGGTACCTCAACTGATCCTCTACTGACATGAGCCGAGTTTGAAGCAACAAGACTTAAAGCCGAAACAGCTCGGTGTGAAGACGAAGTGAGCAGAGTTAAATATGGAGAAGTAGGAGTGCTGTCGGGATTCCACACAATGGGTTTTGGTGACGCTCTGAGCTGCACACTTGTTCACCGTCTGCCTAAATGCACACACCTCCAGTCTCCAAAATTCCTGCTCACAGTGTTCACAGTGACTGCACACTCCCTCGCGTTTGCCGAGAAGAGAGGAAAGTCGGCGCTAACGGTACGACACGAGCAGCTGCGTAACAGGAGCCACTTTTGAGAATGTAGGATAATCCGAATGTGCTCAACCCTGATAAGTGGCTTAATGCAACGGTTTCCGTTGGACTGTTCTCTTTTCTGCTCAGGCTGAGACCCCGGCGCACAAGAAGCACTACTTATAAAGTTAGCCAAATCGAGCTTTTTGGGATTATGTCACCATGCGAGCGCTGTCGTCCCACTGAGGGAAGGGACATGTATATGAGACAAGACAGAAAAGGGCTGGGATGACAGAGTGAGAGGAGAAAAGAGAAATTGCTTTCGAGCATATTTAGACTGTGGTGACAGTTAAGAGGATTTGTAGGCAGTAAAATAAACATATTGATAGTGAGGCAGCTGTTCTGAATCAAAAACAATTACTTTGTTTTTTAACTTCAATATTTCTTTTCACCGCAGATGTATTTCAGTTTGTTACAGACCTGCGGTGTGTGGACAGTGTGATCTTAAAACGTAGTTACTCGTAGCTGTAAGGCTAAAATCTTAAATTCTATTATTCTAAATTTAATATAATATAAAACAACTTTAATTCCTGTATTTAAGACAGCAGTTATGTTACAAAGACACCAGGTTTATCAAACGAATACATCTTATAAATCACAGGGTAACTGTAGATTAATCACGATTATTCGTCATCTTGATAGAATGATAGCTTCATGCCCTCTAAGAGGAGACGGTCCCTGACTTTGGGAACCATTGACAAATTACAGGACACATGTAACGGATGTTGAGCTAAAGGTTAGTTGTTAACTCTGTTGCACATTTGCCACTAAGTATCAAAAATATTTGAGCCATTTCATGCATCAAAAAAAAAAAAAAAGATTCTTAAAAATGTAGAGCCATAAAAAACTGAATCTTAAGAAATCAAAGACTCCCTTCAATGCTACAATTGTCCCTGAGGCCGAACTTTGGACATGGCTTCTGTAAAGTCTTCCTTCAAAAAGAACAGGCCGAGGACTGCAACAGTTTCTCCCCACATCAGAGGAGAACTGAATGAAGTCTGTGCACGGCCAAAAAAAAAAGAACTGAGGGAATCCTTTGAATATGCAGATTAGATATGCCGTATAAAAGATCAGAAGCAGCCTGCTCATTTTATAGGTATGGAGAATAGAGAGGGTTTTATAGAGAAAAAAAAAAAGCTTTTGACGTAGCTTTATTCACCTAAATCAAAGAGGTGACATTAAGGCTTTGAGCTTGCGCTCAAAATATTGCAACTCATGCTTAGTCACACAGGAAGGTGACTCAGGAGGTTTTTAGGATTCTTTTTTTTTTTTTTTTAAACGAGAATCTCGTCAATGGGGAACATACCCGTAGGTCAATCTGATAACTTAACCTTGAGACCGCGGGAGTATGATTAGCTACAGAGGATTCACAGATACACCTTTGGTGATGAGATGATTAATCAGAAGTCGCATCTCTACAAGTGTATCAAGCAATCGTCCTCTTTCTTTCATGGAAGATCAGATCTTTTAAATCCACCAGGGTCAGGGCCCAATTATCTGGGGGGGTTCAAAAAATCAATTTAAACACATTTCCATTTACTATGTATTCTTCATGCCATCATTGTCAATTGCAAACAATCTGTCACAAGCAGACAACAAGGCAAAAGCTAGCACACTAGCTCCACTGCACCAGGCTGGCATCGAAAGCATTATGCATTCAAGTCAGGACAAAGTTTGATGTGGATTGTGGCCGAAACAGTTTTGAGGTATCTTAGTTTCTCATCAGCTCATCAGTAAGTGAGCAGGAAACTTCTTGCATCTCTCTCCCTCTCTCTCTCCAACTTAAATAGTGAATCTCGTTATTCATGCCGACTTCTGACCTTATTAGCATTTCATACACAATCATATACAATTGTTTTTCCTAGAACATTAAAGGCATCACTAGCTTTACTCAGCCTCCTGAAAAACTGCATAAATCTATATGGAATTATTTAGTCTATAAACATTATACAGATTGAAATGGATGGGTAAGATTCATTAAATAGAACAAATAGCTAAAACAAAGCTAGGTTATCATGAAATATGTAACCAAATCCACATCTCAATTATGCTGATACCAAAGTTAGTTAAAAAGGGAAAACGGTTATTTATTTTAGAATAATCCAATTATTTTGAGTGTTTTTATTTTAGAGGTGAAAGCAACTGTTTCTGCAATAACGCTTGAATATATTTTGTGTGTATACAAAAGAGAAATGATTTCCACATATAACAACAAAATATGAATACATATTAAATAGCACTTTGGCTTAATATAGTTTTTAAAAGTGGTATAAACAGAGCCGCCCGGATGAGGTAGTTGGTGAATCTATAACCATTTGCATTTGCTTGAATCCAAGTCAACAAACAGCTGTCTGCTGACTAAAATTAGAACCTCGAAGGTTAATGTTGTGTTTGCCAATAATGTTCACCCGTTGCGAAGCAGCGATCATTTTGTCCAGAATCCAGCTGCAGGGTGATGCTTTCACAGAGACAGCGAGGCTGGTTTCAGGGCTGTGCACTGCAATTATTGAAAAAAAATGATGCACTGTGACAGAGGCTTTAATTCAGAGCTTTAGCTGTGTGTCTTAGCAACAATAAAAGTAAAGGGAGGGAAGAAGCGATCCACAGCTCTTCCGTTATTGATTTTGCAAACTGAAAAGGTTTTTACGGCTGGCAAATGGGGAAGAGCTCTCCACTTGAACCTAACTCACTTCAAAGAGGCTGCAAGCACACACGTGGGAGAACCAACTTCAATACTAATCAAATGTGGAGGAATACAGGGGTGTATACTAAATTTATAAGTTGAACTTTAAGATCCAGAAGAGATGTGTGAGGCCAGATCTGGAGACTTATGAATCATCTAATGACCTTGTGCGGATCTTACATTTGCTGCTACAAGCGATTCAATCAAATTGGGAAAGTAAAAGGTGAAGCAGTTAGTGTTTATTTTGGACTAATTTAAGCTTAATTAGTTTTTTTTTAATTAGAGGTCACTACATAGTAAAAATGGCCAGTATTAGTATTGTTCGGAAAAAAAAAAGCCCATCCGATTCTAATACCTAAACCCAGGGTCTACATGGGTGTACCATCTTAGTGTACAACGGCTCCAGCACTTGTTAACTGTTTTGAGTGTTCAGACAATAATGTGTACTTTCCCGAAGAAACAAACACACAAAAAAAAAACTATTTGCCTCAGGCTCAGAGAGGCAAGCAGAACTTTCAGCCGAGTTGACTTCTCAAGCTCCCTAGTGTTTAAGAAAACAGTTTTATGAAATCAAACTTTGCATGAAAGTCAGCATGGACTCGTCTTAGTGCTATCGGCTGTGGGGTGGGGGTGTGTGTGTGTGTACGAATATACAGCAAAGCTGATTTGTCATCATTCCATTTACTCCTCAAAAAGTATGACTTAAGGACTTGAACTATAAAAAAGGCTCTCTCTCTCTCTCTCTGTCTCTCTCTCTCTGTCTCTCTCTCTCTGTCTCTCTCTCTCGCTCTCTCTCTCTCTCTCTCTCTCTCTCTGTCTCTCTCTCTCGCTCTCTCTCTCTCTCTCTCTCTCTCCATTAGAATTAACTAATTCAGGGTTCTGAATCTGGATTATTTGTTAGTATGATCAGGTGCCTGTGTTTTTTTCCCTATGACAATAAAGGCATCATTGTTCTCAATTGTATTGTTTGTTTTGTTTTTGTTTTTTTTTTGTGGTTACCAGTCAAAGCTGCAGCACAGGCTTGACTTGCATATTTGAAAAGCTCCACTTTAGATAAAACCACGGGCAATTTTAACTTCGCAATTCTAAATAAGCACCAGGGTTTCAAACACAACAACCACAAATACGTTATCATCATTGTTGGTGTACCTTTTGCAGTATTTTAAAAGCATTTTGTCTCACTATCCCATTACTACTCATTATTCCAGAACACAAACAGCCCAAATATACAGCATTGTCATTATTCTTGCTTCACTTGTCAGGAGGTCATTAAAAAAACATTAATGAAAAAGATTAAAATGGCTGTGACGAGAAGTTGACGCGAGAAAATAAATTCCGCTCTGGTACCGAGTTCCTGGCTTCAGGCTGAGTTAGTGAGCGCTTGTTTCGTGCTGTTCTCCGCCGTCCTGAAAAGCTTTTTCCTTTATCCACCGGTGAACACACGTAAAGTTGCATGACGCGGGAATGCTTTTTCGATCTGTTATTTAACTGCTGTGGTTTAGAGGCATGAAAGCCGCACATTTGCTCGGTACAATCTGGCCCCGACAGAGGAAAACATTCTGAAAAGCACACTGAGAATTGATTTGTGACTGTCTGAGCTCCAAAATCTGATATTTGTGATTCAGCCACAAAACAACATTGTATTTATGAGATAAATTCTGACCGAGGGAGGTCATTTTGTCTGGGTGATTATGCAGAACGCCACATTCTGACATTTTTTCAATCAATTTGGACATTCGACTGGATGTTCTCCAGCATTGTCCCGTAATGATGTCCCTCTGTATCGAATAGGTTTCACAATTAGTTATTTGGAAAAACATTATCGAGGGACAAAAAACAATTAATGGAGGAAAGCGTCGGATGAGCCCGCTAGCAACAGCTGCTTTGTCGCCATGTTCCATCGCTCAACAACAATGGCAAAATAATTTCACAGAGACCCCAAGCAATGAGCTGGCAACTAATAAATATGAAAAAGTTTAACACTTGACACAGGTGGTAACAAATCAGTTCTCACTTGTAGGAAAACTACAAAGTCCATTCCACCTCATTCAACTCAGCTCAAGGGCTTCCTGCACTCTCATGCTAATACCAACGACCTAATTTTGGAGTTCATCTGTTCAAATTAAAAACAATGGGGAGGCAGATGTTCCAGCAGTGGCTTGTATCTGAAGTGTTCTCTGGTTCAGAGCGTGGTGTTCTGCTGGGTCAGATATGTATAAATCATAATGCCCTCCCCGAGGTGTGGAGAACCAGCAGATCAATAGACACAAGAGGGAAAAATCAGCACCGCTTGTTTAAAAGGGTGCAATCAGGCCCATACCAACCCTCAGGGCATCATTGGGAGTACTTGGTATTCACAGGGAGAGGCTGAGAATGTACAGCAAGTGAGGGATTCGTGTTCCACACTATTGTTAAATTAATTAAAAGCTGATTAGAGGGAATCAAGACCATTCATAAACTGGGGCACAGAATGGAGAAAGGTCGTGACACTGCTTCTTACCTTTTTGCCGATGAGCTTCTTCCTCAAGAACTCGCGGGCCTCAAACATGTAGGGGATGTCGTAGAGAGGACGGAAGCGCTTGTCTCTGTCCTTGTTTTTCTCCTGTAAATGAAGGAAAGTAGGGGTTATTGTGGGAGAAAGTCCAGAAGGGGGCTGAGGAAGGAGAGAGATAATGAGAAGAAAAGGAAAGAATAATGTGAAGGATGAAATTATTAATTTCGCACCCTGGAAGGTGAACATAATATAAAATGAAAGATTAATCTGAATATATCTAGTTGAATAAGAAGAAAAAGATGTTTTCATTGAGAAACCTAGTACTATTTGTTAAATATTGAAAAAGAATAAGAAATTGATAACAGTTGGACTGACCTAAGGTTGGAACAGAGAGAAAGAAAGAATTACATAGAGAACTATCAAGGAGTGAACAAATGTGGTTGGAACAGAGAGAAAGAAAGAATTAGATAGAGAACTATCAAAGAGTGAACAAATGTAAAAAAACAAAAAAACAAAACTGTCTTTCCTGATAAAATTAAACATAAAACAAACCAGGCTATATTCTGTACCAGTATAAAATACCAGTTTAAAGAAAAACTAAATTTTTCGACTGGCTCACAGCCAAGATTGGTTTTCTACTGAAGAGAAGAAATCAGAGCAAGGCGTCCAAACTGTTGAGCGGGTATATTGTCCCAAGAAAACTGTAGTAGTGGGTATTCTAGACTTCTATTACTTTTACACACACACGTATACTCATACATATGCATATAGTATATACAATCATATATATATATACATATATACACATACTGTATATACACGCATCCACATATATACACACAGAGTATATACGCATACAAATATATACATACATATATGTATACATACAAATGTACGTGTACATACATACACAGCATATATATGTAAACACATATACACAAACGCATACAAAACAAATACAAGACAGGAGGAGAATTCAGAAGATTTTTGTCTCAGAAATAAATAAATAAACTAAAGTGCATTTCCAAATTAGAGGATAGACTGTTTCTAAACACTGAGTTTACATGTGGACAAACGACGAGAAACTTTGTTCACTGAACATCAGTTCCGCAACGAGGAAAACACCGCCTCAAAACCCGCTGTGAAACTGTAACGTGCGTTCTCGCGCGCGCACACACACCCGCTCAAAACACAAATATCTTTCTTGCTGTCTGCACTGTCGCAGCACACAAAAACTGTGTTAAACAGATGCATTAAGTAGAGCTGACACCGTGTCTGCGTGCATGCGTAGACTGAGACATTGCGGCGTATCACACAACGACCACACAGTTGCATACACAAAAACTTCCCCCAAAACGCTCACCCACTCACTGACAGGAGCGGGCCACAAATAGAATCCATTTGCATTTTCAAAAGGAGGTTATTTGTGTTGCTCCTGGTGGGACAAACACATACACGTACAACATTAACACATATGTATTCACACAAACACACACAGTGACAGGTGTGTTTTTGTAGAGGCAGAATTAAAAAAAAACAGCAGATGACAATGATGCATTGGGAAAATAAACGACAGGCACTAACAGGAGGAGTACGACTATGAATGACAATAGCTGTACACTCTCCTCTCCTGCCCCTCCCACACTCTTGTGTTAACGCCATTATATTCTGTCTTACAAACACATCCCTAACAGTGAACAAACCACACAAAAAAAAAAAAAGAAGTCTGTATTGACTCATCATTACCTCGATAGGTTTGATTCATTTTTAATGCCTCTCCATTTGTGCAGAACTGCCAGGTGTGGTACACAGCTGGGCAGATGGATGTGTCGAGAAGACACATGGGAGACAGAGAGGGTGCGAACATGTGTTTGTATGTTCAAGCAGGTGCTAACGGCTCCATTTAAATCTTAAAGACTTTGCTCACGAGATGAATGGAAGTGGAGGCTCTGGCGGCCAGTGAAGATAATTTTCAGTCTAAGTGCTGTGGCACAGAGGGGCCGGTTGGACCGACTGTGGGAAGAAACCAGCGGAAACTGCCAAAAAAAAAAGCCGCCAACAGATCTAAACCTAAGCAGGAATATAATAACCTTTGAGTTGAATAGCTTCCCATCATTCACTCCTCACCTTCATCCTTCCCCACTTTCACTTGCAGACTCAGCACTGCATGGAGGCTCGGAGGTGAGTTAATCTCACACATGGCCATTTAAAAAAAAAATCCCTAGATTTTTGGCCGAGAGCCCATGTCTTCCATTTTGCATGTGCCGGGGCTTTTTTAAAGAGTCTTACACCCCTATCGAGTCAGTTGCAGTGGGATGATGGGGCTTTTCGAAAGCCCTGCATGTCAGGAATCCTCCATTTTGTGCCTTAGACGTCTACTGCCGGGGATAACTTTTACCCAGCTGACATTAGTTGACGGGGGGGTTCTTCTTTGGGAGCATAATGTATTTTTATCATACCGTGGCATGATTCTGATTGGTCCAGGTCGAACCAAGTGGATAACATGCAAAAGGTAAAGAATGAAGCCACGGTGAGGGGGTGGGGGGGCTTCTCAAACTAATAAGCACTTTTACGGTGGAGAGAGAGAGCCATGTCGCTGAGGTGTAAGAGTGTAAATGTCAGCACTCTACGCCAATTAGGCACACGGAGGTAGAAAGGTAGACCAGACAAAGGGTCCTTAGTTCTCCGTTTCCCAGAAGGCCTGTGGGGGAAAGAATCAGAACCTAGTGGAAGATGGTGAAGGTGAAGGAGTCGGGGAACACGAGAGCATGAAAAGGACATGCTGCAGGAGAAAACGGCAGCAATTGAGGTAGAACACGGAGTCCACCGCATGCTGAGCCGGTGTTCTACTCTGACGTGACCCGGCAGACAACCTTGTCTTTGCTGATACTATCATGTCATTGTGATTCTGACCAGTGAAAAGGTGAGGAGAGTGGGTGGAATGTGTGAAACAAAGGGCTCGCAGTGGTTTTTAAAGGGCAGTCAGCAAAAGCTGGAGCATGGACTCGAATCAATGACACCGATTGATTACAACAAGGGCCAAATATTTTACAATAGGAACAGTTTGCTTTGTGTTATCGAGGGCCACAACACTGGTTTGCTAAAGGTTTTTTGTCAGTAAAGACAAATTTAGAAACAAACCTGAAAAAAAAAAAAGAGTGCGTCATTTTGCATCTGCATTATGGCCGCCCTCATGGTTAAGAGTGCGTCATTTTGCATCTGCATTACGGCCGCCCTCAAGGTCCACTGGTAACTGAAAGATGGTAAAAATGCAGTGATTTTTGTTTAAAGCAGCTGAAGGAGGGTCACCCCAGGTCTCGCTTCTCCACCCAAGTTTTGGGAAAAATGTAAGATTGATGATAAGCTATGCTCAAATATAGACTAAGGAAATGGTGGACATTGATATAACCAAAATAGTGTCAACTTCAGCAGAGCTAGCTGATAAGTTAGCACCTAAACCCTAGACTTTGTTTGTTGATAAAACTGGACGGTGCTCGCCCAGAGGGTTGAGACACTTTAGAATATTTATTATAGGTAGAATACTATTGTGCACCTGTCCAAAATCTGAGGCAGTGTTGTAAATAATTAAGTTGCTCAAGCAGTACCTTGAACACTTACCTTGTGAAGCAAAACAATAAAATTAAATTGCATTAATCTCAAACACAGTAGCTATACACAAGAACACAAATCACTTTTATCAACATTCTAAAACACCACCCCAATTTTATCATAATCTCTCCCAGGTCTATTGAAATTAGTTGATGGACCTCATCCAGACCACAGACCATGTTTTAAGCACAAGCAGTGCTATTAGGGATCATGAAATTACTTCAACAAGAAAAATCTGGGTGTACTTTTTATGTGTAGTTATCAGAATGTTCAAAACGAGTGGCTCTTCTGTCTCAACCCTGAGCCTGTAACAATGGCCTGGTTTCACTGTTTAATGATGGGGTGGTGGAGGGTCTGTCCTTATTGGTATGAAAGCCTGCAACAGTTCAGTCCACATTTCCCATAACAGTCCAGTAATCACCTCTGGCTACTGCAGAGCTGTGACTCTCACTGAAGTCTCTGCTGCATGGCTGCAGGTGGCTGTGCTGCTGGAAATGTGTGAATACCGTTGCTGGAAGCATTAGCAAATTGGAGTTTCAAGAATAAGACAGCGGTGTGCCCTTAAACTATGGATTTCTCTGTACTTAGTATTTAATAAAATAACTGTGTAAAGTGAGCATTCACAAACATTAAATCACAGCAGAGGGAGGGAGACGGTGAGAAGGGGGGGGGGGGGGCGTACGTTTCCTCAAGCAGGAGCAGGAGGGGTGTTGCCAGCTGTAACACGACAATACAAAAATCAGATTACAATTTCAGAATTATTACCCATATGGCAGAATACAAATAAGTAATTACGGAGCTGACTTGAACTGATCTCGCAATAAACCGCAGAGTAATACCAGATTTTGGAATTAAATTACCTGTCGCAACATAAAAACAAACAAGGCAATTGATTCACGGCGAGGTGCTTTGAGACGGCAACATTCGCTGGGACAGATTCGCAGCCAACACTCCCAATGTGTTGTCATTAATTAAACGTCAAATAGCGAGTTGAAAATGTTAAAATGACAGTGTGGACCCTGCACCAGTTTTACTGATTTAGATCTCCAACAGTTTACATTTTCACTCGACCCATGAATCGTTTCCTGAATTAGAAATGCTCCGAGTGGAAGGGTTGTAAAAATGAAGCCTTTTAAAAGTCAGGGCAACAGAAAAAAAGGCTAAAACAAGCAACAAAAAACCCCTCAAGGAATCCCGTTCATTATGTCAGGAGGATGTTCGAAAATGTCAATAGCACATTAATAAAAGGTAGATTCTGTTATGGGTTGGGGCTGTATTTCATCCATGGGACAAAACTCTTCTGTCTTGTGCGAAATCATCTCGTCTCTCCATGTATATTTTTGACAACAGTGGCACGGTATTTCATAAATTATGTTACACTTGCTGTTATTTTATGGCCTTATTTTTATGATGCGGAAGGCAGGGTCGATTACATCGCCATAAAACCGTCTGATAAGGACACGTCACGGTGACAAAACAGTGACACTGCTGAGGAGGAC